TTCGTTCTTTTTCGTTCACTTTCAAGGTTGCCGCCTATCTGTCCTGCTAATCCTACACTTAAGGTTGCCGCCTATCTATTATCTCTATAATACTCTCCTATTGTTATCCTACAGACATGGGAAAGTAAACGGTAGTATCTGTAAAAAGCAAAAAAAGAACATTAATAACCAGTGTGTAAATATTTGAAGAGTATGAGTATTTTATAAAATTCGATATGTATTCAAAATTAAGAGATTTTAAAAATCCCAATAAAAAAAATACATTTATACAATTTTTATTTATTTCAATCGACAGATCAGGTCTTTTTACATACAAATCATTAATAAAAAAGGGACCTTTTTTTGTTTTTTCCGGGTTATAAAGCGTTTTGGAGCGCGCTAAAACAGTCGCGACGCTCCATCGCGTCATTTCGGCTCCGTTCCCTTGCACGAATTGAAACATCATACTGTGATAGCAAATTTTAACAAAATAGTCATTTAAATTCGCTATATCTCAGACGTTTGTGTATCGATCGATAAACTACAAACTATTCAAAAGAAGATTCGAGAGGGTGTTTTTTTTTTCAAATGCAAAAGTTGTGTTATAAAATTTGAAACAAATATTTTTGCTTAAACAAGTGTTCCAGATGACAACCTAAGGAAGATTTTGCAAAAGTTGCAAATATAAAAATAAAGTAGTTCTAAAGTTATAACAATATTATGGCGACATACGGTTAGCGGTTTAGCGCGCCCTAAAACGTTGTATAGCTCTGGAAAATAAAAAGCTTCCTTTTATATTAATAATTTCTATTCTATTTAAAATCTTTCGATTGAAATTACTAAAAAAAGGGGTGCAAATAACCATCATTAAGAAAAATTACAAATAAATTTCCGTTTAGAATTTTCTACATGAAAATGAACGCAATGAAAGGACCAGGGGCAGAGGACCTGTCCGCACTTGAGATGAACAACTGGCGCAAATCTGCAACTGGCGAAGTTTTTTGTTCCCGGCCCAGACCGACAAACGCTTGCCAAATAAGAAGAAGAAAAAAGTATTACATTAAAAATGTTTGTTGTTTTAATTCATATTGATTTTTTTTTAATAATAATAATAAGTGTTTGGTCGAGCTTCTCCTCCAATTTTTTTTTGCGCGTCTTGATGTTGTTACACAATTGGAGGTACCTACACTTTTATGTCGTCTCCGAAGGGCAAATGGATTTTATGAGTAGCTTTTTTATGGCAGAAATACCCTTGGAGGTTAGCCATTGCCTGCCGAAGGGCGAGTGCTGTCAAAAAAAACTTTTTCGAATTTATATGTTGCTCGGACCAGGGATACAACCCAGACCCTGCAGAGTGGTAGTAAAAGCCTCTAACCACTGGTAGACTAGAGCTGTTCCACTCAAATAGGCAATTTATTTTGGATTTATTAGGCATTCGGGAATATTTCAGAAAAAAATTTCATTTTTTACTTTATTACCATACAAGCTCGATACTTTGTTTTATAACCTTTTACTTTGCTTTTAGATATAACCGTAAACTCGCAAAATTCGTACGATTCTTTCTGTACCAACGATGGAATGCTCCTTATACATATTGTACGCATAAGAAAATCTCGCTGTTTTTTCTTTTTTCTTGTACATATGTACATACATATGTATACACAATTTTTTATTTATTTATTTTTTTTTTTTGGTTCAGACACCTTAATCTAGCCATCTAACTGACTAATAAAAGCTCTAAAGTAAATATTGCTGAAAGTTTAAAAAGCAGACAACTGTATTATATTCACTTTTAAAGACCATTTAGTTTGTTTACTCACCAGAAAGCAAAACATTTAAAGACTCTTAAATGCACTCTATGAAAAGCAAAAACAAATTTTTACTTTATTTTCCATTAAATTTTGCACTCTAAAATTCATACTACATACATGCTCGTATAAACTCTCAAACGAAAATGTGTGCGCAGTGTCAACAACTGGCTACCGAAAAAGTAAAAATCATTGGAATAAACAATCAGTGGCACTTTTAACAGCATCGATAGTTGGTCGATTTTGTATGGTTATTTTGGTGGTGAGCTACTCAAGTGGCTCTTGGTTAAATGGACAAATTTGTTGATAGAGCATGTTTACTTAAATACCCGAATGTATCATACTAGGAGTGAGTCAGCAAAATTGATGAGAATTGAAGAATGTATACTAGTCATAATTACTAAAATTTTTGAACATTATTTAAGAAAAAAAGAGCTTTAAGCTACAAAGCGGGAGTTAAATTTTACTCTAACGAAATCAAAGATTTTTCACATCAAAATGAGAATAAATATTAAATGCAATAACTACTCGAATAAAGCTACCACAAAGCTATACAAGTTGGAAAATGTCTCATACCTCAAACTATTTATCGGTTTACATTCAAACGTATTAAAGTGCAGTAAAATCAAAACTATCTTTCAACAACCTAAGTACTTAAGTTCTTACGCAAGTTATCATTTATCTGTATATCTATGAAACTGAATTGCATAAGTATACATATAAGTGTCAACGAACTAATTCTATGAGCAAAAGTGCCAGCACCTACAAACCTCAATGCGATAAAGCTCACCAAGTCCCACTTTACTAATTTTTTAGACTTTATGAAATAAGCAAAGCGCAGGATAACATGGACTATACTGGCTTATGAAGATTTATTTAAGGATGTAAAGGAAAATGAAAAACATATCCGCTCATTGCAGTAAAAGCGAATCTTTAGAGAGAACTTAAAAAAGCACATTATCCTGAACTAAATTACATTTGACGGGTTATTTAGTTATAAATTCCAGCTCGTGCTTATTACACATAGAACTTTTTTCGAAGCCGTTTATTTGTTGGGACGAGTCAGCAAATAAAAAGTCTGTAAGCAAACATTTTTGACTACGTTCATACATATTTTTCTGGACGAACATATAACCCACTTAGAGAGTTTGAAACTCTGATTTCGGAGTATAGAGCCTAGTATAAATAAATTTGAAACTTTTGCTAAAGATTATTCCAGTAGAACTATTTTAAAAAAATTTTGGTATTAACGAATAAAAATAGATGTCACCGAAAAATGGAAAAAGGCGACCCCTCGGTATTGTTAAAAAAAGTGTTGTTTGCTCTCCTCTTCATTCTCATTCAGGCAACTTTTGTAGGCATCGTTCGCGGGTTCGAATTGTCGAGCTGTATGTACCTAGTCCTATAAGGCAATGTCCGGTGATAACTGTAGTGGTTGTGCCGATATCCTGCCTTCTTAGATTACGCAAACTCTTCATGCTTTGGCCATTCAGGGATGGTCAAAGTGTTCTGGCAATTTGGAAAGTGGGGTTTCACCTTCCGTTATTTGCTATTTTGGTTAATTTTGTTTTTTAATTGAAAGTTTAGACAAATGCTTATTGATAATATCAGTTATATCAGTAATATCTGATCGGTATACCCCAACCATTTCGTCAGGTAATTTTTCTTAGAGATTTAAAGCATAGTGAAGTAAGCAAAAGACGATTGTACAGCGGACAAAGTACCTTTTGGCAACACACAAAGAGTCTTCGCATATTGGCGGTTACAAGTTCAAAGTAGTGTAGGATTTTGTCTACCCAGGATCCAGTATTCAACATCACAAATAATGTCAGCTTGGAGATCAAGCGAGGCAGAATTGAAAACAACAGCCCTTTTTGGTCGAATAAAAACTACGTTCTGCAAGTCTCTCATGATGCCCGTTCTTTTACACATGTGGTACAGAAACGTGGCCGTTGTCGAACAAAGATAACAATGCTTTGGGGCTGCCTAGAGATAAACTACCAAGATGGCCATGTTCGCGTGTTGGGCGGAGTTTCTTGGTCTCGGCTCAAACCAATAAACGGTTTTAGCGCCAAATAAGAAAAATAAGATGTTTTTCTTTTGGGAAGGCTTGCTATTTGTACAAGCTTTTATTAATTTTCACCTGTGTGTAATCAAATCTTGCAATAAATTTTTAACCAAATTTTCGATGAGCTAAAGACTTCAAACTTCAAACTGAGCTCAAAACCCGATGACAGTGCAATGTCTTAATGCCTCTAGGTGGCAGGTATATTACATACATGAAAAAAATAACTCCACAAAAAAAAAGGGCACGATAAGTGGCGCAGAAGTCGAGATATTTGGTAAATCGGAAATTACTCATATTTGGAACGTACATACATATATTAATTGGAAAAAATTTAAATTTACCCGTTAGGTTGTACGCGAGTCAAATTTTCTCTTTTTTACTAACCACTAATAAAAACTTGCCTCTACAAATTGCTTGTTTTGTTTCGTCATGTATTTGCAGATGACAGTATCCAGAACATAAACAGTTCTGAACGTTAAAGTTCTCTTTGCAAAGTTAAAGGGAGTAGCTTATCTATGGTCTCCATACTAACCCAGTTTCAGTTTAATCAAAATTATATTGGTCACAAAAATTTTAAATATCATTTTATTTTATTATTTTATCGACAAGTAAAAATATTCAAAAACCTTTTGGATTTTTCCTCGTATTCTGTCATCAACTCAAAGGATGCTTGTCTACTACTGAGTAACTTTTACCAATACGGTAATTTCAGTTAACTGGGTATATGTAAAAAACAGTATTTTTATATGCAGCTGCAGCAATGATCCTTTCTGACTAGCATAAAATGAATTTCTTCAAGCGGCGACAGTGTAACGACAGCATTGTTGTACTTTATTATGCACAAGGATGTTTCCATACATTCATATAGATATGCCAACATACAAAGTTATGACATTTAAAGATAAATACAAATACGAATATGAATGTGTTAACAATCGTTAGTAATATCACACGCTCGCCAACCCCCACCAAAACATGATATCACATATGTACATTAGAGTGGTCCAAAAAAAATTTTCCGATATAGGGTTTGGGGCACCTTCCAAAATTTTTCTTCTTGTCGAAAGAGG